CCAAACCTTCCCTTCCCAAACCTTCCCTTCCCAAACCTTCCCTTCCCAAACCTTCCCTTCCCAAACCTTCCCTTCCCAAACCTTCCCTTCCCAAACCTTCCCTTCCCAAACCTTCCCTTCCCAAACCTTCCCTTCCCAAACCTTCCCTTCCCAAACCTTCCCTTCCCAAACCTTCCCTTCCCAAACCTTCCCTTCCCAAACCTTCCCTTCCCAAACCTTCCCTTCCACCTCTGTGTGCAACCTCCCTGTGCCTGCTCTCTAGCAAGCAGGAGCAGCTCCTCAGTGCTCTCTGCCAGCACTCACCTGTAATTTAAACACATTGTCTGTGGCAGCCCAATGGTGGTGTCTGGCACTTGGACAGTGTGGGACCTGTGGGTGGGAGTGAGGTGAGGATGAGTAGCAGAGCCATGTGCAGAGCTGGGGGGCACTTGCTGTGGAGCCCTCACCAACTTCCTAATAAATGTGAGGGAAGGGACAAAGCACAGTACAGTGTCTGACATCATTGCTGGGAGAAGGAGTGGGAAGCCACGAGTTTCTGTCCATCTGTCTGCCTTACAAAGTGCCTTTCTTGAACGTGCTTCATCAACATCCAAGCCAGTGGATCTGTATATTGTCGTTGTAGTCAAGAGGATTGCGTTACTCTGTTTGGTTTGTTCGGTGTTTTCTTTTCTTTTTTACAATAAAAAGTGATTAAAGAACAGGCTGTGCTGGGCTGACTGAGTGATTGCTTAATTTGTTAGTTAATAGATTAGGTTTTGTCAAAAGCACTGTCTCCCCTTCCCGAGCAGTAAAGCAGCATGATGCTGGATACATGCCTGCTTTATGGTGCCTCTTTTTTTAAGCTTCTAGCATCTGACATAGGTGACTATGGGATATTCTAATGAAACTGAAGTTATTAAAAAAAAAGAATTCTATTACATTTCAGAGATGTTTGGGCTTCATGCTTCAATAGTGCTAATTAGATATGTGACCCATTTTCATTCTGCTTTAGCTCCTGGGGATGGTGAAGCCTCATTATAAATAGAAGGATAGAGAATGCCCATGTTCCTTATTCTAAATAGCTTCTTCAAAAGGCTTTAGGGTGTTTTCTGTGTGGACACTGGTTATGTTTTCTTTTTCTTTAAGTGAGGAAGTGGGACGGGGGGAGATTTCTCTCGCCAGAAGTAAATAATTGAATATTTTTTTCTTTCATTTGGAAAACCTAGTTGGTAAATCAAGGTCCTCCTGAATTTTAAGTTTGCCTTGTTTTTATTGACAAGGGAATAAACTTGAATGTTTTCTAAGAATAAAAATGCTTTTAATGTTGCAGTAACTTCCCATTAACTGGTATTTTTAGCTAATAGATTCTGTGCAGCTCCTGTGTTCATGAAATGCACTGAGTGGCTGGCTGGATGCTGACAAAAGGTAGCAGTTGTGAGAGGTACTTGTTGATAAACAGCCTGCCAAAGTGCATGTTGTGACGCAAAACTGAGGCTGGAAGGAGCAAACAGCCCATTCCAAAATCTACTCTTGGAAAGCTCTCGCGTCCCATGCTCTTTTATGTCTTATGCAGAAGTCTGTTGCTTCCAAAAGACTTGTAGTAAACAAACAGACACCTTCTCCCAATGATAGAAAATGCCTGGGTGAGACCTGGGAATAAGTGTATTAAAAATAATATAAATGAATAAAAGATAACAGAGCGTTGCCAGGCAACTGTCAAAGGAGCTGCAGCTGCTGCATCTCTGGGCTTTGCTGAAATGACCTCTTACATTTTGAGCATCTTACCTGCCTGTGAATGAAATGTTTGTTCTGAACTTTGCCTCACAGGCAGCAGTTGAGCTTGTGAGTGCTGCTGTATTTAGCGCTACAGTGCTGATGTCCTTGCGCTATCATTAAAAAAATAAATAATTCAAGAAATGAGGATAAAGCTGAGCTGGAGTCAGCTCTCAGCAATACAGAGATCACTTATGACTGAATAAGTAAATTTTCATGATTTAGCAGTGTCGGTGGAGTTATCTGAAAGCAGGCAGAGAGTGGAACTCTCCTGTCGCTTACTTTTAATGACTACACTAAGTGAAAAGGTAAGGTGGGTTTTACATCTGAATTTACTGGTCTGAGCACTTGTCCATAAACCTGTAGCTCAGAGGCTTGCTGTAAAAATTGAGTCTACTAACAAAGCAGGCTGTGGCAGAGGAATTTGAGGTGAGTATAACTTCAGGATGGTTTTCTGGGCATTTTGCTGGGATGCTGTGAGAGGTCCTTCAGTAAAGAGGAACCAAGGGGGCTGTGCTCTTTGCAGCTCCTTCCTTTGCAGGATGGTTTGATGTGTTTGTGCACCAGATGATGAAGGTAACCTTTTCTGTTTGCAGAGGAGGGGGGAAATAACCTTTTCAAAAGCTGTGTTTATGAGGATGAACATAACTTTACGTTGTAAACACGAGCAACATGACTAGATTTTGGGCAGCTGCTTTATTGCTTGTATCACATTCCCATTTGGAGTATGTTAGATGCTGTTGTGTGTCTCCACCATGAGAAAGCTGCTGTCTAAATGTGCCCAGTGTACAACAGGATGAGAAGAACTCCATGTAGGAGTGATTTAAGATGGAATCTTACAGTTATTTAAGCCCACGTTTAGCTTAATTCACCGTAAATATTCAGGGCTACACAGAGTGAGTAAAGGTTAACACATTTATTAGCCTTTGAAGATCAGAGGCAAGCTTTATTTAATTTGAAATTTGTGTGATGCCTCGCTGCTAAGTACTTCTCAGAAGATGCTGGTGGCACATCGCATGGCTGTTTGCTTTGGTCATGGGTTACTTTGCAGTTTTTTATCACAAACCATTTCCATGTTTTTCCTCATCTTCACCACTTGTTTTTCTTAATTCTGCTGTTTTCATTTTTCTCCTCCGTATCTTATTCTCAGAAATTTGAGCTATTTTGGCACACTGGAGAGTTTGAAAAGAAAAAAAAAGATGTTATTGAAAATAACCTTTGAAGATTTTTACTCTGCATAGAAACATTGAATAGGAGTAAGCTACTGCCAGGGCAGAGCCTTCAGCCTTGCTGAGCTAAGAGCTGACCCTGTCCTGTTAGTGTTGTACTGCACGAATGCGCTGTGCTCCGCAGCTGTTGATAAACAAGCTTTTCCTAGGGAAGAGGAGAGATCATGCAGTGATTTGACTGAATGTTTTGAAAGCATATATCCAAACTCAGCTCACTCCCCAGGAAAGCATCCGAGATAGTGGTGCTACAGTGGAGGGGGTCTTGCCTGCTGGCTTGGGGAGGAATGCAGCTCCATATCGGGCCCTACGTGTCATGCTGGTTTTTTGCATTCCACTGGAGATAGTGCTTGGGACTTTCTCTTGAGAAGAAAACCAGGAAACACCTGTTACTGCTGGCAGCTGGTGCCTCAGCAGCAAATGGGCAGACGGACGGATGGATGGAGCAGGGCTCCTGCATTCCTGCCTACAGAATGCTTAGGCTTGTAAAGTCCTGCTTGGGAATAAATAAATGTTGTCTTCAAGAAAAAATGGGTGATGTTTTGGGGTGTGACTAAAAGGATTAGACATGCAGTGGATCTGTTATCTAGGAATTTTCAAGGAAGCTCATGGCCACATCCCGGAGGTGGGTTTTTTCCCTTTAAAATTAACTCACCAACTAAATATGTTGGAAATGGTGAATATATAATTGACTGAAACTTTCTTCTTTGGTGGGGCTGAAGTTTAAGCAGATAAGGAAAGGGTTCTTAGGAAATTGTAGATATGTGTGCAGCATTTTGCTCTAAAAGATCACAAAGTCCAGATATGTTCTTAGGCATAAAGAGAAGTTAAAAAGTTACCAAAAAAAAAAAAAGAAAAAAAAGAGTTAATTTATATGTTTAGTCTTTCAAAATAGTATTTCAGGCTTGATGAAACAGTTTTCAAATCTCCTATGTTGGACCAGACAGAGTAAACATCCCTAAATAGTACATTCTCCTGCAAGCATTGCATTTGACAACCAGGCAGGCATGCAGGGAAGGGATGCAGAATTTAAAACATCTGAACCAGATTTTGTTGTTCCACAGGTTGAAAAAAAGCTGAAAGACCTGAGGAAGCTAGTGGTGCATATTAACAGGTGTTTGTTTTTGAAGACTTGGCGTTATTACAGAAGAACCATTTAAACAGGTTGATCTGTAGAAGATGCTTTGTTTCTCTGGCTGGCTGGATGGGCGCGTTCCCCCGCGTGGGGATCATGATGTGCCAGTAATTGCAGTTAAATGAACATGGCTGGCTCTCAGGCAAATG